TATAAATATTTTAATAAATTAATTTTTTTAGTGTTAAAAAATTACTACAATTTGTTTATTATAAAAAGAAAAAATAATTTTAATGAATGATCTTGTACTTACAAATAAAAAAAAAATTATATACAACTTTATTATTATTATTTTTATTGTTTCTTTTATAAAATAATGAATGAATGAAAACTTTTTGTTAATTTTTCAATTTAAAATTCTGCTATAAATGAAATAAAAATTAAATAGAAAATAAGCATTAATAATTAAAAACAGAAATAAATTTTATATTTTTAATTTAAATCTTGATCTTTTTTTACTTTAGATAACGCATTTTTTTCTAAAGCTTTTCTTTTTATAAAAAAATAATAATTATTATAATCAATAAAAATTAAGTTCTTTGTAGAATTAATTGTTATTTTTAAAATTTATAATTTTTCAAGAAATTAATAAATAGAATAATAATACAATTACTTTTCTGCTTAAAATTTTGCAGAATAAAAGAGAGAGAGAGGAAAAAAAAAAAAGTCTAATTTTTAGTTGTTTGTTCACACCTTCATTCTTCTATCATATTACATTTCCTCGCAAAACATAAATCTCGATGCGACGACGCGTAGGTCTATAGTCACATTGCACAAATATTTTAAAGTGAAATTAATGGCATTTTAAATATATTAAAACGCCATTAATTTTACTTAAAAATGTAAAAATTATTATTCAAAAACTGTTTGAATTGCGTATTTAAAATAAATGTCAATTATCTAATTGATTTAGACGCGTGGGATTTTTATTGAACTGTCTTCGGAGCCATAATATAAAATATTTAATTTTTTTTTTTTATTTAATTAAATTTATAAATAAATGTGACGAGAAATAGTTATTGTGTACGATAATTTACATCGTTGCAATTGCTATATAGAATGTGACANTTTTTTATTTAATTAAATTTATAAATAAATGTGACGAGAAATAGTTATTGTGTACGATAATTTACATCGTTGCAATTGCTATATAGAATGTGACAGACGGACATTTCGCATTAATATATTTTTAAATAACATATTTTTTTATATAGTTTTTCGATTTATATATTTGTTGTATTTTTATTTTTTATTCGAATGTTAAAGGAGAATTTTATTTTAATTCGAATAACTAAAGGAGAGTTTACAAAGTCCCGTTTAAATATTCAGAAATGACTTTAGAAGAGTATTTATACACAAATTATAAAGAAAATTTCGTTTCATTGTTTTAAAATAATGATTTTATATAGCCTATTATAACGTAATACATACTAATGTAATTAAAAATTCTGTTAGTACATCGAAATATATACCTATGGATAATCACAATAAGAAAAATAAGAAATCATTAAAGAACTTGGAAAAAATCCTTACAAGAATTAAACCAAAAAAACGGAATAATAAAAGATTCTGGATGCCAAACAGTCCCTGTTTCTGTAATAAAAACAGTCAAGTAGATTGTGACGAAGTATTCCCCAATGTATACATAGGCAACGAGGCATCAGCAAGATGTAAGATGTTTCTCAGGTACATGAACTTCACGCACATTCTAAACGCAGCAGAAGGTCGAGATTTTGGTAAAGTCAACACTGGAACTTCTTATTACGGTGACATGAGTGTAGAATATCTCGGTTTAAACATCGATGATGTCGTTTCTGAAAAAATAAATACATACTTCGACGTCGCAGCTAATTTTATCGATAAAGCAATTCAAGGCGGTAAAGTTTTAGTGCATTGTGTAATGGGAGTATCACGATCTGCTACGCTCGTCTGTGCTTTTCTCATGATCAAGAGAGGGATGAGTGCAGAGCAAGCCTTAACTACACTCAGAAGAAAGAGAAGCGTTTATCCAAATTATGGCTTTATCTACCAATTAATTGATTTAGAAAAACATCTTAAGAAGTCCAAGAAAAATTGAAGAATTAAAAAAAAATTTAAATATTACAAATGATAAAATTGTTCCAATTTTAAATTTAGGCCTATATTTTACAACAATTAAAACATTATTAACTAAATTAAGTTTTTGTCTATTTATAAATTATTTTATAAGACTTCCCCGATATTGTATGGCTTCTTAGAAACCATTTCGCAAATAATAAGAAGAATTAAAAACTCAAGTTTTGCAGTATAACTATTGTGAACTCATTCAGAAACAGGAACAAGTCAAAGCCAGTATGACAGTTCTTCAGCTGTAATTTACTTCCACCTCAACTTGACATGTGAATAGCCTATTATTACTATCAACTTTAAAAACTAGGAATGTCTGAACTTTAAAAAACTCGTTTTTATATAATGAAAAGTTTTTTTCTGGCTATACACAATATTAACATTTGGTAAATATAATAAATACGTTTAAACAAGAAAGATTTGAATGGGTAAAAGTACAACTTTTCTGATTTGATGTCGTAACGTTCAATGTTGATGATAGAAACAGCAGTGGCGATTGCAGCGCAGCATTTCTATCTATCTAGTTTGGTGCGAGTCATGTGGGGAGATGTCAGAGTTTGGCTCTGATTCTTAATTAAAACATTCAGGTAACTTTTTTTAAAAACTTTTGACAAAGAGAGACGTTAGGAAATCAGTAAAACCTCTTTATTTAATTGTTCAAATTAATATTTAGCTAGTAATTTATATAACAAAGGAACGGTTTTTGATAACCGCGAATGGCGCGCCGCGTCGCGTCGTAATACGTATCGGTTTGTATATCTGTGAATATTACCTGTTTCATTGTCTATATTTTTCATGAAAAATACACAAATACTTAAGGGCATTCATACGTTTAATAGTAATACGGATACAAAACCAATAATATTTATTATTACATAATAATACACTGAGAAAAATTACCGTTGTCTTTATATCGCTAGGAAGCGCATAACTTAAAATAATCATCGTATAACAATCAATAATTATATGTTTATTTTTACTTATTTATATTAAGAATACAGAAATATAATATATTTCATAACATTTTAACGAAAATTATAAAATATAAATCACAGGTGATGTGAA